GGTTAATGGTCATCGGTTGAAGCCTTTCTATGAGAATCATCAAGATTGTATGATCAAAGAAATCATTCTAGAAGAACCTATAGTCTGAACCATGTCATCGAGCGAATGACATTAAACAAAAATGCTCTAATGGGAGGTAACCCATTTTATTATTTTATTTTTTTTTATTTATTTTTCTTTATATTTTTTTATACACAGGTATTTTCTAATCGAGATCAAAATTGTGGACACGACATTGATTCGAATAAAGGTAAATGTTCCTATACCACTGGACAACCCATCGATGCTACACATGGGGAGTATTTCTATCCCTTCTCCTTTACTTTATTTATTTTGGTTTGCGACAATACTCTTTAAGTGAGGGGGTAGAGTGAGGGTTTCACTTTATTTATTCATGTTGGTTTGATGAGATATCTTGATTCTTATGACTATTGATTACCTTGGTTAACTTGTTAGTTTTGTCATGATCCCTTGTTTTCAAGCTTGAGTTGATCTTGTTATGCATGAATAATTGATTTGAGTTGATGAGATAATTTGATGAAAGCTTTTAACCTTGTGGTAAATTGTTAGTGTTGCTTAAATAAGAGCTTGTGCTAGTTTTGCTAGTGATTGATATTATCTTCAGATGTGTAACTTTGTGAGGTAATTGTGAGTGGTATATCGTTTAAATGTGATCGGATTGGAGAACCGGGGTGAGGTACTTGGGTTGTCATCTACTTTCCAGTTTAAAGATTCAATGATGAGTCGAGACTAAGAGTTAAAAAAAGAGAACTGCAAAAAGGAAGAAATTTAAAAAAAAAGAAGAAAAAATCAAAAAAAAAAGAGAGAAAAAATAAGCGCTTGAAAAAAGAGAGAGTGAGTGATACAAAAGGGGAGGAAAATAAAACTTACACTCCGCCAATCGCTTATCAGGAGGAAACTAAACTTGGTTTGATTTCGTCTTTGTCTCACAAGAAAATAACAAAAGCTCTGCATATCTACCTCTTATTCATTTGGTTAATTGTTATTGATTGGATTATCTTGTCACTTTTGTTTGATTATCTTGTCTAACTTCTTCGGTCCATGCATGTAATTGGGATTTTACATAAACTTTTGAGTGTATCTTTGGTGAATAATGGAAATTGGAATTGATGTATGCTTGAGAAAAACATTAAATAAGTGAAGGGAATTTGAGGAGAGTTTAATATTACATATTTTTATTATTATTTACCTCTCATTTATCACTTGGACATTACTGATTTATGTTGGGATTTGCGGAAGCACAAATCGACAACCGAAAGGGTTCGCCAAGAGGGGTCGAAACGGTTTTTGTGTTTAGGGAGTAAGGAGATTAAAAGATAGAAAATTTACACAACAATTTATAGTGGTTTGACTTCTCAACCAAGTCTACATCCATTACCTTAGCTCCTCACCAAAGATTTTCCAACAAATTCACTAATTTGTTCTTTCTTTTTCAAGGACAAAGAGATAACCTTTACAACTCTCTAGTTTTTCACGGGCTAAACTAGAACCTTTCCCTTAACTTTTCACGGGCTAAGCTAGAACCAAAACCCCTTTACAATGAAAGGAAATATAAACAAGAAAACCTCTCTAAGGTAGGTGTTTACAAGAATTATGCGCACAAGAACAAAATATTTACTAGAGGAAGATGAAATAAGAATAAAAACTCTTCTCTTGTGTTTGATTGCTTGGATAGTTGTTCTCTTCCTTCTTCAAGTGTCCACAACTTGTATTTATTGCTTGGAATGAGTTTGAAGTCGTATATAGCCGTTGGGGATGTTTTAGAGCCGTTTGGGGATTGTTTTTCAACAAAAATATGCTGCCCAAAACAAAGTGTATCAGTACACTATCAAGGTGCATCGATGCCCCTTCATTAAATTCAAATTTTATGACCGGTGGGCTGTGTAAACAGTGAGTGCATTGGTACACTATAGCAGTGCATCGGTAAACTATTTACATTCGATGTTTTTGAACATCGATATTGTTCATTACTGTTTATTACTTTTCATTACTATTCATAAAACATTTTTGTGCTCAATTCCAAATTAAATGAGCTTTGATTATTTTTGTAATCTTTGAAAACTTTGAATAAATTTAATTCAAGTCCAAAAACATTTTACAATAAATTTTTATATCAAAACATAGTTCAACAATTTATCTTTATTTTGAGTTTATTTGTGACAAGAACTTCATTGGATTAATTAGCCTAAAAACTAGTAGATTTTGACGGTCCATTTAGCATCTTCTAGAAGACAAGCAAAATTTCCTTGAATATTTAATTTGGAATTTACATAGGACAAGATTATCCAGAAGATGAAGAAGAATTCAACCATAAGACTTAAATATTTATCTTTTGTGATAATTTAATTTATGATTTTTAGTTTGATTTTTATATTATTATTTTATTTAAGAATTAGTTATTTTATTAGAACTCTTATTATGATTTTTAATTTGATTATTTTAGGAATTAGTTATTTTATTTACTTAGAATTATGGGGTTATAAATACCCTTAGGTTTAATAGTTGAAACTCAGATTGAAATTTTATTTTCCTTGGTTATTTATTGAAGTTCTATTTTTCTTTCATCTCCATATTTCTTTCCTTATTTTCTTTTCACAATGCTAAGCATGATCCAATCTATGATGGGCCTTAGCCAAAGGTTTTTGCGAAACTTAATTCCATTAATGAGAATTGAATCTTAATCTTCATACCTTCATGTCATATTCTTGATTATCTGGAAACTGGGAGTGACAATTAGTCACTATCTTAAGGGGGTGTTTGGATGGGGGAATGTGAGATTCCCATGGGAATAGAATCCACATTCCCCCGTTTGGTTAGCTCGGGAATCTCATTTCCGGTAATGTAAGATTACCAATAGTGGATTTTTTGGGGTATATTACCGGGAATGTCATTACCTCCATTTCCTTAGGTATTGTTGGATTACCGGCGTTTTGGACTAAAATGCCCTTAAAATTTTTTTCTTTCAAAAATATTCTTATTCTGTCATTGAATAATAAAAATTCTACGAATGTTAAATTACAAATTTATCCTTGAACTATTTTAGATTTACAAAAAAATCTATAATTAAAATTTTATATGAAGTTCAGGGGTTAAAATAAAATTTTACCCTTTCATTAAACCTTTTTATATTTCCAATTTTGTAAAAAAATTATATAAATTTTATGAATTTAATTTTTTTAAAGAAAATATATAAATATTTTTCAACTTGTTAAAAAAACAAATATATAATAAGGACAATTTGGTCAAATATACATTCCAATAATTTTTTATTCCTTTAACCAAACACGGTAGCCTTACATTCTGCCAAGTTAACCAAACACAAAATACAACATTCCCAGTAATCCTATTCCCTGGTAATCTTACATTCCCACTGGTAATCTTACATTCCGTGAACCAAACGCACCCTAAAATTATTACATCTTTAACTCAAAAGGTGCACATTGATTTGAATATTGTTTTGCTTGAAGTTTGGAAGTCGGATCGGTTGGTCGTATTTGTCTTCTTGTGAACAAACTTAGCGACGATCTGTTAAGGGAAATCAAGATCGAGTTCGATTCTTAGTGAGACACTATAACTCGAGTCGGGTTTTTTAGAATTTAAAGTTGTTTTGGATCTAACGATGATAGACATAGCTAGACAAACAAATATCGGATTTTGGAGATATAATTGGAAATTCGATTAACTGGAGAGAAGAGTTAGTTGCAGGGGTTGGGTCTTGTTGACTATAACTGACATACATCACGAAGGAAAAAATTTATTTCGATGATTGATCGAAACTGAGGCTAGGCAAAACATGAGGCTATATCATCTTTATTTAATTTTTCCACTTTATTTATTTTCTCATTATTATTATTTATTCAATATTTATTTATTTTATTCATTTATTTTCATTAATTTTAAATGCCCTTTTTATTTTTTATAGTAGATTCAATACGAGAAACAACGTTATCAAACTTCCTTAGTCCTTGTAGATCGACCCTACTTCTCTATATTACTTTATTTATTTATTTATTTGAGAATTAAAGATTGTTTTTATTTGGAAAATTCGACGCTTGTCAGACATCATTCGATTAGAGGATTAAATTTATTTTAATTTATTAAAAGTACGACAAAACTGAGAGAATATGTAAATAACAGAACCACATGTGTGATTATATCAAAATATTTAACTGCTGGTAACGATAATTAACTTGGGTTGACCACATCTTAATTAAATAAAACGAAAATGACCATATCTTATTTTTTAAAACCAATAACCAAAAGTGGACAAAACATAAACGTAGTGATTTTCCATGTAGTTAACCCTTTAATTTAACTTACATGAGATCAAATCTTTTTAATAATATTTTTGCTTAATGGTAACTAAAATTCTCAATTTTTTTACAAAAAATCAATGAGATCCCTAAATATTTTTACACACAATGCAGTCTTCAAACTGATTTTTTAACAATAATCTGAATATTTTTATATAGTATTAATTTTTATTAATTAAATGATTTTAAGATTTTAATTTTATAAGAGATTCTTAACCTTTTATATAATAATTTTAAATGTTGGTTGATATAAATTCTTCCAAAAGGTTTATTTTTTCGAAACTTAAGTCGTTAAAGTTTTCTAAATAGGTGAGATTATTAGTGAAAGTGAATGACCATTGCCACATACCGAGAAGTATGAAATAATTAAATACTGAATAAGCAAAAAAAAAAAAAAAAAATCGTGGAAACAAACAAAGAAAGCTATGCGGCACATATATATATATGCCGGCTGCTAATACAAATTTTATTTTTGCATACATCAACTACACAAAAACATGACAATCGACAAACAAAGCTATAGATTACCCTAAACCATTACAAAGGAAAGCAAGTGGTAATAAACAAAGCAGGCGTAAGATCAATATCTATACGTATACATATGTGTATCTATATATTTGTATAAAACGTAAAACTTTTTTAAAGATTGTTTTCCTTGGAGGAGTCCTATGCGATAGATGTGCCTCTTAGGAAGCGCCATGGCCCAGTTCCAGTCCCTATCCTGCATGTAATAACACCACTTTCTGATTCAGTCCTATTTAGTTTAATATTTGATACATTAATGGGACATAACATAATTATGTAATGTGAGTGAAAATGGAGGGTTTTTACCTCCAAACACTGGCCAAGCTGCGAAGAGCCATGTAAATGGTTAATGCAGCCCATATCCCTACGAAACCGTTGGTTTTAGAGAGAATGAATAGCGATGCAATGCTTGCTCCTGCTACTAATATCATGGAGTATGCTGTGAATGCAAAGTCTGATGCTCCATAGTTCACTCCGTCCAACACAAATGCTATGGAGTTTATTGGTTGTGTTGCTGCCACAAACTGATCAACGCACATCCGCTTCAGCTACTTGAAAACAAAAATAACAACTTTTTTTGTGAAGAATTAATTACCGGTACTCCTATTGCGATGATATGAAGAACAGTAGCATCTTTGGAAAAGATACCCGACCCAAAGTATAAACCCAGTCCAACCACAACAGCAAGCCCCACACCAAGCACAAAACTCATCTGCATTACTCGACATGCCGTGGCTGTCACCTTCTTGTAGTCCTTCTCCGCAAATGCACACGCCAGAATTGCCTGTCCGGCAACAGCTAAACCATCGGCAAGAAGAGACGATGTCATCCAGACCTGTAGGCAGATTTGAAATGCCGCCATGGGCGTTGGACCAAGCCGAGCAGCCATTGAGGCTGCCAGTGTCACACAGAATGTCACTGCTATTACTCTTGCTAATAAAAGAATCCCTGTAGTCATAAATATTGTTAGACCATAAGGCAGAAAGCATAACAAAAATATTAACTCCCAACGCTTGTATAAATAATTATTTTATTTCATTTTTTTTAACATTTTAGCTTCAATTGTCAAAATAGTTCATATCAAATAAAAATTATTAGTTGACTAACAATTAACATATGTTACTAATTTTCATGCATTTAATTGATGATGTTGTATGTGTCACGTCATCACATTAGTGACATGGCACGAGTCACACCATCATTTTAAGTGACGTTGTCCATATTTTCATCATTTTGATGACGTGATACTTATCATACCATCACTTTGATGATATGACACCTACTATGTCATCAATTAGATACATATAAAAATATTGCGTCAAAAACATGTTGACCGTTAGTCAACTAACGGTTTTAATCTAATAGAGATTATTTTGACAAAAAATAAAATATTAAAAACTGAAAGACAAAATAATCATTCGTAGAAATATTAGGGGTTAAGTTTATCATTATGTTAAGGGAGAACGCAGTTGAAGTTTAGACAATGGCCAATCTCTTCAAGTTCCTTACCATTTTTAAGAAATCGTCCGAATTGCAGGTCTTTCATGTTTGGGGGTAAGAGACTGACTTGTTTCATCAATCGCCACAAGAGGATGAGTGAAATCAAATACCTGCACCCGTCAATTAACATTAGAGCTGGTATAAGCATAATATTAAATTGCGGATCCAGGAGTTATGACATAATTTACTTTTTAAAATTAACTATATATTTACGTTACGAATATAGTTTATAGTGTAGCGGTAATCTTGAAAAATGTTATCACATGACTGTTATACTGCATTGTGGTCACAATTTAATGCAACGAGTATAAGATTATCTCAAATGAGAGTTCAAGACAGAATTAACTTACTGAGAAAGGATATGTGCTATGGCTGCACCACTGACACCAAGCTTTAAGACAAAGATAAATATGGGGTCCAATACGATATTTGTTAGGTCTCCTGCAACTGTTTTAGCAAAAACCAACAGGGGTTAAATGTAGTTATAAACTTATAATTAGCATTAGAAAAAGGAAAATTAACGTTAAACCTCTTCAGTGTCCATACCAGTTGCATATAAAGGTGTTTTTGTGTCCTTAAATCCTCGGAAAACACCTTGCATGGCTAAAGAGAGAAGAACTGCAGGAGCTCCTAATGACCTCAAAGTCAAGTACTTTAGTGCTGGGCTTAGCATTGGGGAACCCTAGGTAAATCATTAAAAAAAATGAAATTTAGAGAATAAAGTGAATAGATTGAAAGCTAACAGTATTAGAGATGCTGCTGCCACCTTGCAGTGCCACTTACATGCTTGACACCCATGACACCCAGGAGAGGTTTTGCACCAAATACAAGGCATATAGCTTGAAGGAGACCAAGCATGGAACCAAGAATCAAGGCGGTTGACACTGAAGGGATATGCCTTTTCCCCTTTTTCACTTGGGCAGTTTCAGTTTTGGTATCAATGAGAGAGAGAGTTTTAGCATCCTCAGGCTCTTTGGTATCAACGTTTTCCATGTTAGCAGCCTCTACATCATCTGTTTCCGATTCTTTGTGTTTTGCTCCATTATTTTCCAAATTCTCAAATTTTGCAGCTTCAGGGTTAATCTTTGCAAGTGTGTCTTCTTCAGCTACAAAAGAGGTTGTTATGCTAACCAGAGGGAAAATGGTAATCCTTGATGCCTGATTGAATATGGCGATGGAAACTCCTACAGCAGCTAGTTCCACCGGTCCTACACACAAAATTTGCTTCAAAAAAACCATATATTTAAGCAATATAAAAGTATCAATAAAGCATGTGCAGACATATATACTTGGTTATCATCATATCATAAATATAGTCAAGGAAGGATGCATGATTTTATGTTATGAGCAATTTTTTAAAATTTTAGGAAGGCACAAATTTATAGAATTTTACAGGGAGAAAATAGATTTTTAATAAAAAATATATAGAAAAAATTTAAAATATAAGATAATTTTAAATTTTCAAAGAGTGACTACCATCACTCGCCCCCTCGATCCCTCTTTGCATGTAGTCATGCACCCAATAATGAATAGAAAGAGCATATATATAGGATATGACAGGTGACCTATGCGGCCAATGAAGGCAGTGTCAATGAGAGAAGCAATGGGATCAGCAGCTAAGGCCAAGGCAGCAGGCAATGCTATCCTTAGTATCTCCAGTCCAAGCGAATCCAATTTGAAAACAAGACTAAAACAAAATCCGTGAACCAAAAATCAGCTATTGAAATTTAAACCACCATTATTTGAAGCAAAAACTGTATATCCAATTGAGAGACGTACCTTGCATCTTTAAAAAGAAAAAAAATAGGAACACCCCACGGGCTCCACTTGCTCTCAGGTGGGTGCATAATACCATTCTCAGCCATGATACGACCAGTGTGTGCAAAAATGCTAATCAAACCACAAGTTTAAGATGTTAGTACAAGACTTTCACCCTCAAACTTGTACTTCTTATAGGCTAAGCCTCGATCGTATTCTGCGGAGTATAAGGGGGAAACTCAAAATATAAGTACACTTACGAATTAAAAATATCACAACTTATGGTGATAACAGATCTGCATTCAATACAATGCACCCTTATAATTTAAATAGCAGTAGTATACAAGGTAGTAAATCTACCATGGTTGGGCGCTGATACATCTCTTCTCTTCCCAAGAAACATGTATCCCACTACTATAATATATATAATTATTTGGAAATAATTAGTCCAGTTTTCTAATAAATAAATAAGACATATATCAACTTCTTAATCTTCGTTACGGAGTTAAATCTTTTTACCTACTATATATATATATATATATATATATATATATATATATATTGAATGCATGAGTGATACCTCCCTCCGTTGTTTCATGTCGCATGTAATATTATAAACTAGAGCTTGCAATGTACGTACGACCAAATTCGCATTCTCTCCGATTTAATATTAAAATATCAGACAAATCACGTTTAGCAGATCTGTTCCTGTTGTTTTCCTTCATGGAAGATTCTTTTTTCCTTTTCTTCCTCAGATAACACTAAAAACCCATCTAAAATATTCATTCGATACAGTCTTCCAGGAAATTATTTTCTACAATCCTATTAAATAAACATTTTTTTTAAAAAGGCTAAGAAACTTTGAACCCCTACGTACTAGAAAACAGATATCACCGACTAAAAGAATGAAAGAAGGCGACGTCCTAAGCAGACATGTGTGTGGCTATGTTTTATGTATGTGTATGTATATATGACGCAGATGCCAAATCACGTTGGAAGAAACAAAAGTCGGATTAGTCGTGAATAAACCTGTTCTGTGTATCTCTTGTCTAGATAATGCAATTTTAATGTGTACATAATTAGGTAGGGAAAAAATATATACTATCATAGGTTCTTTCTTTATCAGTTTCCAAGCTAGGAAAAAACCTAGGATAAACTATACATTTAGTACCTTAATTATCATTTTCGTTTCGTTTCGGTCACTTAATTATTATTTTTAAAAGGTATAATGTCAAAATTAGCCCCTAATATTTATTGAAATGATCATTTTGACCCCTATTTATTTTGGAGCATTTTCTCCCATAATGTTTCATTTTAAGGAAAAAAAGCCCTTAACATTTAACAAAATAGTCACTTTGACTCTTATTCTTATTTATTCTGGAGCATTTTAGCCCTCATGTTTCATTTTAAGGTAAAATAACTCTATTTTGGAGCGATAATTGTGTCTTAACTAACATGTTCCATTCATAGAGGGGCCTTTTTGTCCCAAATAAAATATTGGGGGCCCAAAATGCTTCAAAAAACAATAGGGGCCAAAATGATCATTTTGATAAACGTTAGGGGGCTAATTTTATGACTTTATTAAAATCATGCATAACGTTACATTTTTTATTCCATTTTGGTTACCCGCGCGTTAAAAAATTAACAAAATAACTGATGTGACATTTTTAATTTTTTTAATGATGACGTGACATTACCTTATGGTGATAAATCAACATCATCATTAATCTTTTAACACTGTGTGTTCCAAATGAAATCAAAACATAACGTTAAATATTATTTTGAAACAAAAAATAGTTGGGTGACCAAAACAAAACAAAAGATAATTAGGGCACTAAACGTATAATGTACCCAGAAACCTATAAGAGAACAAAGGCAGGCTTCCTAATCAATTTCCAAAAAGTTTTGCTAATTAATTTATACTTCATTATTTTGTTTTTATTAAAGGTTTACATTTAATTCACTAATAGAGAACCACATGTTTATGTTGAATTAAAAAACAAGTATACAAAATAAATATTAAACAGAAAAAATAAGTCGATATTTTGAATTTTATTTTGATAATATATATTTCTCTAAAGAAGAAGTTTCACCAGGTCTCACCTGCTTAGAGCTATAGTAGGAAACTAAATTACAATTCACGTTACTTGAGAGTTTTCCCTTTTCCCTCTCGTTTTTACCTTTTAGGAGAATACTATAGAAAATATTTGTAAAAAGAAAAAATATTTATAATAAAATAACTTCTTTACTTCGTGTTACTAAAAAAGATTTCTAACATACTCTAAGCAAAAGAGCAATATATGGCAATTTCAGAAGGAAGTAGCAAACCTGGTATGGTTCAATGCCAATGCCAATGCCAATGCCAATGCAAAGTTGCTTTTAGCAATTGCAAAGCTTACACGTCGCTTTTCCCTTTATATACATTTCAAAAGGCTCATATGCCCCCTCAACACACCAATTATCATTCACTTATGTGTGTATTTGTATGTATGTACGAGTGTGCGAGAGATATCATGCATCTATTGCCCACTTTTGATGACACTGACAACTTACAAGCTTCATACATATTCGAACAATGATATAATTATTGTACCATGCATGTAGTTATTATCTTTGAAATAATCTCACATAAATTAATATAATCTCGAAAGTAGACATTATTTTTAAAATTAACACAACCTTCTAGATTTCGTACATATCTAAGATGATTACAAAGCATTATGTGTTCAAAATTTTCTTAACCAATTGACAATGTATACAAATTCTATAGACACAACTGTTTGAATTCATGACATCTAATAAGAATAATATTTTCTTTCACCATTGATACCACTTGATATGTTAGCTTTCTCATATTATTTCAATATAGAAAATCTTATTTAAAAATATATTTTCTTTCTTTTGTTTATCGGCATTATCTAACACTTACCAGTTTCAGAGTTATTCGAACAAGGATCGTAATTATAATAAATATCAATATTAACTAATTCATGCAGCTTCGCCAATAGCAATGCGACACGAGCATTATGAAGGAGGATTTCGTACTAAAAATGGAAAGGAAATTGGACGTCATTAATTGTATAGCCGGATCTTTCAAAGTTGGTAAACCGGTTTAATAAAAACAAAATACACGTCCGACAACTTTAAGTGCCTTTAGTTGGTAGCATTCATCTTTTTTAGCAGAGTGCGGGATACGTAGGAACCCTCATGCTTAAATAGTTAAATGGCAATTCACTAGCTACTTCATCTGCAATCTCCATTAATTTCACCCTGACCTAATTTTCCCATTTAAATTACTAATACGAGAGTAAACGAATTAATTTTGATTAAATAATTTTTTTTTTAGTGAAAGTAGGAGTGAAACCAAAAAAAATTTGTTAAGGAATTTTTTTTATTAATCTAGGATGATTATAAGGTAATATATGTTTGAAAGACTCTCAACTATTTAATATTAAAACTCATACACCCTATAAACACCATGCTCAAACTCAGAACCTTAAGGGGTAACAATTATTCTTTTAACCACTCAGGAATCTAGTGAACCTTGCATTGATAAGAGACTCAAATGAGGAGTATAGAAATGTTGTAATTGATTAATAATAAGCTTAAAAGTAAGAACTCGACTAAATATATGTGATAAGTATAAGAACAATATGATATAAAATTTCATAAGACTTATGTTTTTGCTTGACACTTAGGAAAAAAAAGATGAGAACACTTGAGTTAATTGTGTGATCCTTTGCGTGAAATGCTAGTTGGATGTTACTCTAATACTTATGTGACCTAGAATAATTTATACACTCTAAAGAAGTAGGCTATTAAGGTGTACGTTAAAAATGTTTGTTTGACCTAGGTATCACCTAAGGTACTTGGTAATGTTGATGAATTGGATGTACGTTCTTGATGCATGTTTAACCGAGTCTCACCCAAAGAATCTATGTCGCATGCTAGAGGGGTATGAGTCCCATGATACTATGGTGATCTTGGACTACATCATGATGATGTATACATGTTGTGATTTGTGATGCATCGATGATTGCTTCTTGGATATACTTGTTGGCATGTGTATATGATGAATGTAAGTAGTATAGCAGAGTTGTTTGTGTAGAACTAATCTCTTTAGTTAAACATTCGAAATGTTTACATTTGTAAGTTATCGGTATAGAATGAGGATCATATGACTAGGGTAGAGATTCTAACCATTCGAGATATTAGAGTACATATTTGATATTTCTAGAGGACATGTATTAGTCATTAACCTTACGTATATTTTATTTATAAGTATATTTTGTTAAACTTGTTATTTGTATTCAATTTTGTACTATTGAAGCTCATTATTTTTGTAAAATTAATTATTATTATTTTTATTGGTTTATGTTGATTATGTTCATCAAATTTTGAGTAAATGATTTAAAAAAATTGTAAGTCACTTCAGTGATTTTGTGTAATACTCAAATCCTCTAGGTTTGAGATAAATCAGATTAGAGCATCACACAGTGAGTTTGACTTTAAGGGTCATTGAGACTTGATTTTGAAGGATGAGTTTGATATCATTTATGTTGATGCAATCAAATTGGGGAGTGTTTGGTCCAAGGATCGTCAAGACTTGTTCTTGATTAGATGAATTGTCTTGAAAGAGCATCTAATTTTTTTTTAAATCGCGACTTTCATTGATTAGCCAATAACATCATTTAATACATGATATTAGAGAAAACATGGATATTCACAATCAAACTGAAATAGGTCTATTCTATTACAAGCCTATTGTGCTAAGTGCTAAATGATGTGCTACCATATTCCACATCTTAATGTACATAAGAATATTGAACAAAATTAAACAATTTAATTAAATCAAAAGTCTCTCTTAAATGTAAGCCCAACAAGGAAAGCACTATTCTTGATCATTATAGCATGCACACAATACCAATCACATCCCCTCCACAAGAATGCGCTGCCAGCCTAGTGACTAACCGTACTTCAAGGCCTCAATAAAGGTTCATGATTCAAACAACTTCGATGCTGGCAGCTTATACATGTATGTTAGCCTAACAATTTTACCAAAGACGAGCCCATGCCAGTCCCTATAAATAACCTTCTAGCCACCTATTTGTTATTTCTATTGCAGTACGCCATCCAGCTTTAGTTTAACCACATCATTTTTTTAG